ATTCTGGAATTATTCAGTTATTTATTCGTGGAGTCAGTTAATTTAGAAGAAGTGTCCATTTAGATGTAATTGGCTATTTTTAAATCTGTGGACAAGTTTGAAGGCAGGGATGTGTGCAAATTTCCTGAATTTAATGAGTAGTTTCTCTTTCTGTACATATGATTTTTACTGAAAGGAGAAGAGTAGATAAACGTCCTTTCATAATTTTAGATTATAACTTGGAGGGGTAGGTGACAGAGGGAGAGGGAAGTGATTAGCTTTGATACATTTTAGCCATTTCTGATTTATAGTTAACTCATAGCTACAAATGAATAAATACTTATGAATTGCCATCTCTATCATTTTATTGTAAACTGATAAATCATCTCATCTAAAAACAATCTGAGTGATTAACTGAATTAATCAAGGATGACTAGATTCTATGCTACCTTAACAGCGATGTTTTCAAATCTTAGAAAATCATGAATAATTAATTCCTGGATAAGTGTCGACATACTGAAGGTCCCATTTGATTGAAACATGGGGCCAACATTAGGAAAAGATAATGTACAGTGGACAGTTTAATCCTCCCTGATATGCTGTGTTCAAAATTTTGTCTTGATGTATCAGTTAAGTCTTAAGTCAGTGATTATGTGAAGTTTATCTGGAAAAAGTCCAGCCACCATTAATATAACGAGAATGGTTTCCATGACATCATTGTAACCTGGCAGCCAAGGTGAGTGGACCAGAATGCACATGTGTGAACAATGATGACTTCACTGTACTAGTCAGTATTGACTAGTACACTGTTGGTAGACTGACAGTCTACACTGATGATAGACATTGTTGAGTGAGCATGTGTACTGTGTGGCCTTCACATTCAAAATGAGCCAGTAGAGCAATGAGCTATTGAAAGTGGTCCACTCTCTGAAAGGCCTACAACAAGCAAAATACCTGAGAATGTTGAACGTATACGGACTGCAATCAACAAAGATCAGCGACTGGCAGTGTGAGAACTAGAAGCTGATCTGAGGATTCCAAAAACTACTGTGTCTGAGATTTTGATTCAAAATCTTGGCATGAAAGGTGTTGAGGTGAAGTTCATTCCATGGCTTCTGCTGCCAGAGCAAAAGGAACATCATGCTGCAGTTGCTAATGACTTGATTCAACTGCTACCACTGAACCAGATTTCCTCAAGAAGGTCATGACTGAAGATGAATCGGGAGTCTACGGCTATAATTCAGAAATGAAGGCCCAGTCTTCCCACTGGAAGTCACCTAGTTCTCCACACCCAGAAAAAAAAAAAAACTTTGTTTTTTATTGGGAAGGTGTTTTCCATCACAAGTACGCCCCACCAGGCCAAACAGCTAATAAGCTGTACTACCTCAGTGTTCTTTGTTGGTTGAGAAATGCAGTAAGATGAAAACGGCTGCAGCTGTGGGCAACTGGTGATTGGAAGCTTCATCACAACAGTGTGATCTGCTCATGTATCATATCTCATGCAGAGGGTTTTGGCCAAACATCAAATCATCTAGGTCATTCAGCCCCCGTACAGCCCAGATTTGGTGCCCTGTGACTTCTGGCTTTTCCCAAAACTAAAATCATCTTTGAAAGGAAAGAGATTCTAGACCATCAATGAGATTCAGGAAAATAAAACAGGACAGCTGACGGTGATTCCAACAAAGGATTTTGCAGTGTTTTGAACAGTGGAACAGACACTGGGACAACTGTGTGAGGTCCCAAGGTGACTACTTTGAAGGGAACTAAGATGTCATTGTCCTATGTACAGTGTTTCTTGTGTCTTTAATAAATGTCTCTTTTTCATAGTACATGGGTGGATACTTTCTGGGCAGATCTTTGGACTTGAATATAAGGGTATAGATGAAATGATTTCTTTTGATTGGAATTTGGGAGCTTCGATTTTGTTTTTACTATTCAGTTTGTTACATAAGTGTTTTCACTTGGCAAACTTGGGGAGTAAATACTATGAGGATTTGAATATAATGTGATCCAAACTGTGTCTCTGTGTCTTTATATATCTTTACCTGTATCAAATCAGAAACATTGCCCATAGATGCTGTGCTGTCCATATGCACATGAACACAGAGGTAGTAGCCCAGTATACATAGGGATTTAGAACCTTTTATGGAATAACACTGAAGCAAACTAGGCCATAAAAGATGATTAGGAGTTCATGAAATGTAGAGAAAATTGGAGAAAAAGAATATATTCTATACAGTATTTTTATTAAACTTCTAATGCCACTCTCTGATCTGCAGGTGACGAAGGGAGCATGCCAGCAGATATAGCCACATTACTAAAAACATCAATGGGCCTGTGAGATAAGAATTGTGGACTTTTGATGACGAGGAAATATCAACTTGGTGCACTCAAGGACATTTACATTATGACCATGGGGTTTATGAACATTTGTAACTTTTTATAATTTCCATATTACATTTCTCATAGTATGGACAACTTTTTTGCCACTAACTGAATTCTTCTGATGCTCACATGTGAAATTTCAATAAAAGCAACAAATACGTAGTCCTAAAAATGTTGAATAATCATTTTACAAAACAGTTTTCTGAATGGGGATTAGTTGGTGATTGTTTGTAACAAATATGCTAATGCTTTAGAAATGTCAGTATTTTTGTAATTATTTCTACCTCCAAATATATATATATTGTCTTTCACTGGATAATGTGTGTAGATTTTTACATGTGCCTTATTTGACAATGCTTATGTCTTGTTTTTGCTTGTCTCATTTGAAGTTCTTTTTTATTATGTTAGTTTAAAGAATACAGCTGTATAGATTTATATAGCTTTCATTTTATTGCTATTTGAAGCAGATGTTCACCACTGCCAAGAAGAACTCAACCTGAATTTAAAGGTGGCATTCCATATACTAACACCCCCAGGTCCTCCCAAGTAGTTCTGTTAAAACAGATTTGTTTGGCTAGGCACTAAGTTGTTTTCCAGTGAATAGTAACTAAAGAAGCCCTTATCTTGCTCCATGGATTAATTCCTTCTGTTCATTTCCCTGCTGCACTGTTGTGCATACTACTCTGCCTATTCTTGTGCATGTTCATTGATTTCCCTCTCCTGGCTTTTGCTTCTCTTGAAACTGTTGCCCACTCACTTCTGCTCCAGTTCTCATTACTCTCTAAATAGTAGTTTATTTCTGTCACAGACATCTTCACACATCAGCAGAATGTCGGTGACCTTTTTTTCTAGCCTGGCAGAGCAGGTTAACAGGCCATTTCACTTCAAAGCAGACTGAATGTGACTTCATATTAAGGAAGCATTAGGTACTGCATGGAAATAGGTCATTGCTTTTACATTCTTTATCAAAATATGATTTACCAGTTTCCAGAATTTCCAGTACTGGACCTCCTAAAGAGAGAGCCATTTTTCAATTCTAATTCAGTGTGGGTGACAAAGTGAAATTTAGAAGTAACGTTGTCTACTTGATATTTAACTCTTTATTGTCTTTCTTTAAATTTTTGCCTGTCAGTCTATATTGCTGTTTTTATTACACATCAGTTTCTTTGTATAACTTGTGAGTTTCATGTGTTTTGTTTTTATTATGTAAATACCATTATAAATAAAGTTATTTATAAATCAAAGATTTGTTAGTTATTGGAGGTTATACTTTCAGGGCATCCTGACTTGCTTACATGCTATGGTAATACAGTCCTCTGGAGTTCGAAGGCTAATAAAACTCTTAAAGTGATTCTTCAGATATTATAGACTCTGAAAACTCATGACTCAGTAAGTAGATTTGCCCAATCCCGGTGGTACATTGAATGCATTCCACTTAGTAGTATAATGGGAGCTAAAAGGAATCTGTACATACTATCATCACTTCCTCCTGCATCGCAGCACCCAAATCACTTAGTCAAAGTGTTGGGAGTTGCAGGTAGGCAAAGGCAGGACTGGGAAGGGGGACAATCTGCAATCTGTAGTAGTGTCGTCAATAAAAGTTAAAAGTAAAATAAATCTCTCAATGGGTTTCTCATGACTTCTGTATTCGTGTATCTTCAATGATAGGGTATTTCTTTTGTTGTTAAGTCCACATTCTTAAATGTATTTGGGTTCTCCCTATGATGCTTTATTACGTTTTGGGCTTAATAAAAATATTTGTGATCATAAGTTGTATTTTCACACCCTTTTTAATAGTTTCTAACCCCCCTCCCTTTACCCTTGAAAATATACAAAATTGCTCACAAATGAGATCATGTTATGTGCTTATTGTCTGTTCTCAATAAACTGGAATTTGTTACTTAAGATCTTGTTCTCCTTAGTCCCTTCACTGGACTCATGTCCGTAAAAATAATCCATTAATCAGTAAAGACCATACGAGGCCACGGCTGGAGTAATATCTTGACCAACTGAAGCAACTTTCACTTTAAGTCACAAAAAGAAGACATACTTTTTCATAACCGTACTCCTGACCCCATAGGCTTTTAACTTTATGCCAGTAGATATATACATTGAAACATTAATATCGTTCCTAGTTGTTGGTGTTACTATATAGTGGTTAGATAAGAGTATCAGATTTGGTTTCCATTTCTGTGACCTTAAGCAAGACATTTTATATGATTCATAAAATTAAGAAATTGATTTTTAAACTTCCCAAAATGTTTTTTCTGATTATAATATGCAATTCAATTTATGCTCTGATTCATTCATAATCTCTCATTTGTTCAGTTGCTCAATAAGGAGACATTTAATTTGGGTACAGGATGGGATAATGGAATGTGTTGTCCTTCCATGAAAAAAAGATGCCCTAAAAGGTTATGGTGAAACTTTGTTGACATGAAACAGTTTTTTATGAAACCTGTGACTGCTTTATTTGAACCGACTGCATATTTTAAGTGATTTGTGTAAACAAATGAGACTGATTATCTTGTTTTGAATTTTCATAGTTTTAGATGCCTTCTTGTGTAAGTTGCATTTTTTAACACCTTAGCAAATAAATTGTCATAATCCTAAATTTGGATCAGCTTTCAACATTTTATTGCTCTTCCAATGTCACAAAATGTCCCTGTTCTTTTTTCTGTTTTACAGACTTTTTTAAAGAAAAGTTTTAGGTTTACAGCAAAACTGAGCAGAAAGTGGAGTTCCCATATACACCTCCCTGACACATGCCCATCCTCCCCCACTCTCAACACCTGGCACAATGGTGTATTTGTTACAAAACAAGAACTAGCATTGATATCATAACCACCCAAAGTCCGTAGTTTATATTAGGGTTCATTCTTAGTGGCAAATCCAGCATTCAAAGCAATCCACCATTCAAAGCAATTTTTTTAAAAGATTTTATTTTTTAGAGAGGGAAGGGAGGGAGAAAGAGAAACATCAATGTGCAGTTGCTGGGGGCCATGGCTTGCAACATAGGCATGTGCCCTGACTGGGAATTGAACCTGACACTTTGGTTCCCAGCCCTCGCTCAATCCACTGAGCTACGCCAGCCAGGGCTCATTCAAAGATTTTGATGGGAAAATCCTTTGTACCTATTCATCCCTCCCTCCTTAGCCCCTAGAAACATTGATCTTTTTACTGTCTTCATAGTTTTGCCTTTTTCAGAATGTTATAGCTGTGATTATACAGTATTCAGTCATTTTGTTTTTTCAAATTACCTATAAGGAAGTTTATTTAGTAAAGTACAGAAGTGGTGGAAGTCACCTGTCTGGGCTGCATAGGTTTAGGAAATAAGATACAGAGGCAGAAGGTGCTTGGAGCTTAGGGGAGAGAGGCAAAGTTAACGTGTCTGGAGGGGAAAGGAGAGAGATGGCAAAAGGACAGGTGTGCTCCTGAGAGCAACGGTGAGCCAGTATGCAGTCACCTTAGATTGGCTTCTTCCACTTCGTAATATGCATTTACATTTCCCCTGTGTCTTTTCTTTGCACGACCTGGTGGCTCTCTTTTTTTTTAAGTAGATAATATTTCTTTGGATGTGGCACATTTACTTACCTACTCACCTACTTGAAGGCATCTTGGTCTGCTTCCAAGTTTGGGAATTATAATAAAGCTTCCATCAAAATCTATGTGCAGGTTTTTATGTGGACATTTTTTCAATTCCTTTTTGAATAAATATCAAATAGTGCAATTTCTGGATCCTGTGGTAAGAGTATGTTCAGTTTTGTAAGAAACTGACAAGCAATCTCTACCATTTTGCAATCGGATCAGCAGTGAGTAAAACTTCCTGTTGCTCTGCATCTCTGTCAGCATTCAGTGGTGGCGGTGTTCTGAATTTTTGCCATTCTAACAGGTATGTATGGTATCTCACTTTTGTTTGCAATTCCCCAGTAATACATGATATTGAACATCTTTTCACATGTTTATTTGCCATCTATATCTTTGGTGAGGTGTCTGCTCGGGTGTTTTGTCCTTTTTGTATTTGGATTACTTATTTTATTGTTGACTTTTAAGAGCTCTTTGTATATTTTTGGATAATAGTCCTTTATCATAGGATAGGTCTTACAAATATTTTCTCCCAATCTGTGGCGTATCTTCTTATTCTTTTGATATGAAGTTTTATACCCGTCTCACTTTCCCTGGGATGTCTTCGTCTTTGTCTCAAGCACTGTCCTCCTCTGTGTTGGTGAGGGCGCCTCGCCCAGTTCTGCCGGCTGCACAGCTAGAGTCTGGAGGCCGTTGACCTGCATCCGTGTCAGCATTCTCACAGCTCTTTCCATTTATGTTCAATTTGAATTTCACCCCATTATTAGCACTTTTCATTTCTTTTCTGCACTTTCATCTTTGTTGGTGAGTTCCCTTTTTCAATTACTCATTTGCATAAAATGTCAAGATGCTTTGTCACTGAGAAGCATGCAGACAGTGCTGCCACACACTTGACTGTTGGTGCGTGAATAACAAACAGGTGTGCAGTGCCCAGTCCTAACAGCAGACTTTGAAAGAAGTGACTTCAGCGGTCATGGTCATGCTGTGCACCTTATTTACATAGTGATTTGTGGACTGAATAGCTAGCAGCAAAGTTTATACTTGATGCAATTACCCACTGTTAATACACCATGGTAACTGAAGTCCAAACCATTTTGGGGGAGAATATGTTATTTAATAAGCTATTGTGACTGAAATTTATGCATGTGAGAACCTGTGCAAAGCAAGGCCTGGTTTAAACTAATTTTCCTCAGTTGTAAATGATGTGAAACTATTCTCGGAAGGGAAAAAAAAAAGATACTGGCAACTAACTGCTCTTTTTTTTTTCTTTTCAAGCAGAATATGGCAGAGGTGAAAGCCTTGGTGGGGGTGCAGTGTGTGCAGGCAGGCTCATGCAGCTTCTTATCTGAGGGCAGCAAAGCTGTAAGGAACAACCAAGTGGAGGCAGCGGGCGTCTCCTACAGTCTGGTTAGAGGCCTTCGTTGTATCCAGTCAGCAATGGCAGGAATGGCTTGGACTTTCTTCCGTAATGCCACCAGCCTGGGATGAACGTCCAGCAAGTCAGGTCTAAAGACCAAAAGTGTAGTACTGCAGATTTCCCAGTAGAAATCTGCCCAAGTTACCTAGGTTAAAGGAAACACAAATTTCCATTAGAACATAAAAGGTATAGCTTCTTAATCTAAAAGTAGTTTCTTCTTAATTCAAAGTACCTTTTTGTTATTTCAAAAGTGGAGTGTGTGAGACAGTTACAGGGGCCACACCTGGACTCCATCTAGACCCAAAGAACTGCATCGTAGAGGCCCATGACCCCTTGCTTTCAGTAAAATCCTGTAGTTGAAATTAGCCTAATTACATCCTTAAAGGAAAGGATGTACAGCGGTAACATTGCTGTTTTGTCAATGAAATGGTAACTAGAATGTTTGAGCAAGCATTATTTTAGAGGCCCTTTGAGTGGTCCATTGACCGTGGAAAACACCTTGTGACTACCCAGGGACCAACCACCACCAATGACCATCGTGGGACAACTGACCTCATCTGCATTCCTGAGTCCTGTGCCCACCCGAAGGCCCCTGTGCAAGCCGGCCACAGAGCCCCTCTGGGAGCTCGGCTTCTCCTCTCAGGTCGACTCCCTTGTGCACAGCTCTTCTCAGTAAACTCGGTCTGTTCGACCCTGTGCTGAGTTTTCAGTGCTCGTTTCTATGATGTTGAGACTCAAGAATCTGGCATTCAAGGTCTGGTAACGTGTATGATAGAAAATTACAGATGACGCCATAGTCCTAACACCAAAAATTACTAATATTAACACCTCTGTGTGTAAGGTATTCTCTGTATGTGGGCATTTTTACTAACGAGATATTACAGTATATATTTCTTTGTGAGTTGATTAATCTCCACCCCTCTGACTACATTTTCATCTTGCCTAGTACCCAATCAGTACTTTTCCATCTGCTCCAAAAAAATGTTCCTCATAGGACAAAGCAGAATCAATGCCAGGGCCATGCATTTCATCTGATCTTGTTCTTCGACTCTCTTAACTCAGAACAGCACTTTCATGTCACTGAATTACTGAATATTCTGCAGTAGTCCTACACGATGTCCTGTCTTCAGGATTCGTGTGATGATCTTGTCTTCTTGTTTACCTTGTTCCTTTATACCACAGAGTGTAAAGGAACAGGGTGCAAGTTATCCCTGCAGAGTTCACTGTCTCGTTAGTATTTCTGGCTCACACACATTAGGGTGCACCACATCAGAAGACTTAAGATGAGGGTGTCTGGCGGTAGGTGGAACCATCGGTTTGGCCACTGTATTAGGGTGATGACAGTCCACCCTACCCTTGTATACTTTTTTCCCCTTTTGTGACTAAAACTAATCTGAATGACATTACTTTCGCTCAAAGAGTAAAGTTTAAATCTGGACTAGTAGCTTTGTTTTTGTATAGAATTTGATAACACTTATTGTTAGTATTTTATGAACTTCCTTACATCCGTCAACCAGGAGAGTGTTGGTCAGAGTTCAGTGAACACGTGTTTTTGGAGCGCCTACTGTGTGCTCCGTTCAGGTCCCAGTGCTGGGATTAACGGCAGAACAAGAGGTGATGCCAGCCCCTGCTTCTTTGATGCAGCTTTCATTTTAGAAGCAGGAAGACAGACAAACATGGTGATAGCGGTCGTGAAGAAAAAGTGAAGTATGAGAGGGACTCTTGGGTGGTCAGGGAGGGAAGACCTTTAAGAAGTGACACTTAAGCCACAGTTTGAACAATAAAAAGGACCCAAATGTGTAGCCATCTGGGGATTAAACATTCCAGGTAGAGGGGACAGCAAGTATAAAGGCCCTTAGGCGGGAGCAGGACTTGTGTCTAAGGAACAAATTAAACACCTGAGTGTTTGGAACACGGTGAGGAAGGCAGAGAGCGGGAAGAGATGGACTCGGGAGAAAGTCCACAAGGGAAATTGCATACAAAACAAGAAACACGACAAGTCCTCGGAAATTGTTTGATCAATAGGGCAGGGAGAGGGACATTTTAGGAAAGACTATTGCAGTCAGTGGGAAGAAATGCAGGGCTGTGTGGTGAGGTAGGAAGTTGTGAGTTAAGATGTGGAAAGTTCGCTTGTCACCCCAGGACTCGGCAGACAGTGACCAGAATAGGTCACCAAGAGCCACAAAAGCAGTTTGTGTCTTGTCTTTTAGAATGCAGTCTCCTTAAAGGCAAGGACCCAGACCTACCACAGAATCTATGTCAGATTTAGATTTGAATTTTTTGACATAGCTACTTCATAGGTGGTTGTGTGTTCCTCTGTCAGTCGGTCCATAATATCTGGTTGTCTCACTTTTTATATTTATAATTACTGATACTCAATGCCTAGGTCCATTAAGCCACCAGGGGTTGGAAAATGGTGGTATTTTAATCTCTCCTTCTAACTTATTAAATGCTTTTATGGAGACAAAGTTTGGCTATCAATTTTTGTTATCCTGAGATACAATGGATTTTATTCAACCCCTTTTCCCACTTTTTTGTTTGTTTTAGACAGTTTTCAGAACAATAATTTGGCTCCATAGCATCTTCTAAAATTAGCCAGGTGTGTGTGTGTGTGTGTGTGTGTGTGTGTGTGTTTGGTTGTACTGGTGACATCATACTCATGGAGTCATTCATTTTGATTTGTTTCAATCCATGTAGTTAATATTCTCATCGCAGTTTGGTTTGTCTTTGGCCAGGACAGGAAGAGCCTCTTCAAGTTGACTCAGACCTTTTGACACAGCCCCCGTTGTCTTTGATAATTTATTTCCCTCTGGTATGACAAGGAATTCTCGTTCATCTTCACATTCCCTGTCCCAAATTGAGAAGGAGCCCTTCTCTAGGAAGCCCTAGTTCCTTTTAGTGTTTGAAGACCAGAATCTCGGGCTTAACGGTGCCCAGGACAACTGTGTTGGTCATTGTTTCAAGAAAAAGAGACACAAAGTGCACTTTTATTTATCCCAGGATAAAGTACATCATGAGTTCATACTGTTGCACCTAGTTCACGTTCAGAAATAGAGTGCTTACTTAACCTCACCGATCTTACATCTGTTTTCTTTCTCTCACATAAAAGATCCTGCTTCTCAATGACATCCTGAAATTTCTTATTACTTTAGCCACAATATAGATACACTGATATCAGAAAAATAATACCACTGTCACAGTACCACCAAAAATATAAGTATTGAAAATGATGTACAATTTTTATTTATTGTTCTGAGAGTATATCTATGAGATATGTAGTCAAATTACTGTATTTTACATGTAATACTATTTCTTAAAGTAGTTCTTCACTAATAGGGCAAAGAGGTACTTCCCTACATACTCCATGCAGCAATTTGACACACATTCATTTGTTTCATTTTGCTTTGGCTTTGCAGAGATAACTTTTAAAAATGTTTTTGCTATTGTTATATAATTATATAAAATATTTTAATTTATGGTTTTAAAGTTAAATCTACCATAAAAGCTTAATTCAAAGGATTTTAGCTTTTATCACTGCTCTCTTTCTCTCTCTCTCTCTCTCTGGGTAACTTTTTGTTTTTTCCAGTAAGGTTTTATAAGTCTTTATCTTCACATATAAATGAAGACATTATAATTTACTTGTATATTTTAAGATGTAAAACATACTCACAGAATTACCAATGAACCACTCTTTTTCCCCCAAGTATGTGTCCAAATATTGCAGAAGATGAGGTGCATCACATGTAAGGAGCTCATTAAACATCTGCTCCTAAGAGAGGAAGAAAAAGATTACTTCAAGAATAATAGGAAGAAAAATAAATAATATGATTTGAAGATTTAGATTTTTCTTTATTTTTCCATGTGAGTTCAGAAAGGAAGAAAAGTAGCTAAGTGTTTTTTTTTAAATGTATGACATTGTAGAGATTGAGGTCTAATTCTCAATAAATCTTTATTTTTCATGAATTTAAAAATAAGTACTTTTGTCACCAGTTCTTATAGTTTCTTTCTATATAATGACTAAATATTTCACCCATAAAATATTTTCATGATTTTTATCTTAATTTTTGTTAATATGATTTTACTATGTTTTTACATTTCTAAAATTCCCATTTTCTTAGCCTCATTCCCTTTAAAGTTAAATAACATAACTGAAGGTAAAGAAATTAATTTTGCACAGCAAAGGAAACCATCAACAAAATGAAAAAACAACCAACTGAATGGGAGAATATATTCACCAATGATACATCTGAGAAGGGGTTAATATCTAAAATTTATAAAGAACTTACACAACTCACCACCAAAGAAAACAACAATCCAATTAAAAGCTGGGCAAAGGACCTGAACAGACACTGCTCTTAGGAGATGGCGCATAGACATGAAAGAAATGCTCAACGTCACTAATCATCAGAGAAATACAGATTAAAACCACAATGAGATTACACTTTCACACTTGTAAAGTGTTATTATCAATAGAACAAATGCTGGCAAAGATGTAGAGAGAGGAGAGCCCTTTTGCACTGTTGGTGGGAGTGCAGACCAGGGCAACTACTGTTGAAAGCAGTATGGAGATACCTCAAAATGTTAAGAATGTAACTGCCTTATGAACCAGCAATTCCTCTCCTGAGAATGTATCCAAAGAACTACGAAACACTCATTTGATAGAATATGTGCACCCCTACATTCATTCCAGTGTTATTTACGATAGCCAAGATTTGGAAGCAGCCCAAGTAGCAGCCATCTCAGATTGCTTTCTAGCTCAGGCAGGGTGGCCACAGGCAGAGCACAGGTAGGAGCTGACCTTGCCCTGCATCAGCCAGAGCCTGCATTCTGAGTGGACAGTTATAGACCACATTAGAACACCACCACCCTGCCCCTGCACAGCTGATCCTTCATGGAGGGAGGAGGTTGGTGGTCAGTGATCACAGCCAGTTCTTGCAGCTGACTGGTCTGGGTAAATTTCTCCCACTGACCTGTCAAGAGTAATCAAGGCTCAATTACAAGAGGAGGGTGTACTCAGCCCACATGAAGGGTGCACCTCGAGTATCCAGTCTGGGTGATAGGGGAGGCTATGCCACTCTACCCTACAGGATACCTACTACCTTAGGCCACACTACCAAGACAGGGAGTCATAACAGCTCTGTGTAATACATAGAAACAAACACAGGGAGGCTGCCAAAACAAGGAGACAAAGAAACATGGCCCAAATGAAAGAACAGATCAAAACTACAGAAAAAGAGCTAAACAAAATGGAGATGAGCAATCTCTCAGCTGCAGAGTTCAAAACACTGGTTATCAGGATGCTCAAGGAATTTAGTGAGAACCTCCACAGCATAAAAAATATACAGTCAGAAATGAAAGTTTCACTAATTGAAATAAAAAATAATTCACAGGAACATGATAGTAGAGTGAATGAAACTGAGAATCAAATCAATGATTTGGAACATAAGGAAGCAAAAAACAATCAATCAGAACAACAAGAAGAAGAGTCCAAGAAATGAGGATAGTGTTAGCAGCCTGTAGGACAACTTTAAGCATTCTAACATTTGCACCATATGGGGTGTGAGAAGGAGAAGAGAAAGAGAAAGACTGGACATCTATTTAAAAAAAATAATAGAAGAAAACTTCCCTAATTTGGTGAAGGAAATAGACATGCAAGTCTAGGAAGCACAAAGAGTCCCAAATAAATTGTACATAAAGAGGACCACACAGCATAATTAAAATGCCAAAGGTTAAAGATAAAAAGAGAATCTTAGAAGCAGCCAAAGAACAGAAGTTAGGTACCTACAGGGGAAGTCCCTTTAGACTAGGGGTGTCAAACTCATTTTCACTGGGGCCCAGATCAGCCTCGAGGTTGCCTTCAAAGGGCCAAATGTAATTTTAGGACTGATAAATGTAACTACTCCTTAACAGTTAAGTGAGAGCTCAGCATTGCTGCTGGGTAAAAACAATGTGTGGGCTGGATAAAACAAGGTGGAGGGACGGATTCAGCCCACGGGCCTTGTGTTTGCCACCTGTGCCTTAGACCATCAAAAGCTTTCTTAAAAACTTCTTTTGAGAAACCAGTTAGAAGAGACTGGCAAGAAATAATTCAGTCATGAAGAGCAGGGACCAACAGCCAAAATTACTTTACCCAGCAAAGATATCATTTAGAATCAGAGGGTAGATAAAGCACCTCCCAGGCAAGAAAATACTAAAGGAGTTCATCATCACCAAACCATTATTATATGAATGCAAAGGGTCTTATTTTTGAAAAAGAGGAAGGTCAAAACTACAAACAATAATATGGCAATAAATACAAATCTATCAGCCGTTGAATCTAAAAAACAAACGAAGCAAACAAGAATAGATACAGAATCATGGGTACAGTGTTTTGATGGTTGCCAGATGGGAGGGCCTTTGGGGGAATGGGTGAAGAGGTGAGGGGATTAAGAAGTACAAATAGGTGGTTACAGAATAGCCATGGGGATGTAAAGTACAGTATAGGAAATGAAGTAGCCAAAGAACCTATGTGCATGACCCACGGACATGAACAACAGTGTGAGGATTGCCTGAGGGAGTAGGGGTGCTTGATGGAGGTGGCCATGCGGACAAAATCAGGACAACTGATAGAAAATCAATAAAATATAATTTTAAAAAATTAAAAAGAAAAGTAAGTCCAACTCAATGATATTATTGAAAATGTATGTAATGTATTAATATTCATAAATGACCTATATAGGCATACCTTGTACTATTGTACCTTTCATTATTGCTCTTTGCAGATAGTATGCTTTTTACTAATTGAAGGTGCGTGGCGACCCTATGTTGAATAGTCTGTGGCGCCATTTTTCCAACAGTATTTGCTCACTGCATGTCTCTGTGTCCTCTTTGGCAATTCTCACAGTATTTTAAACTTCACCATTATTACTGTGTTTGATATGGTGACCTGAGGTGATCAGTGGTCCTTGATATTACTACTGCACTTATCTGGGGGTGTCCCAAACTGCACCCATGTAATAAGATTGCTAACATGTTCAATGAACGTTGTGTGTCCTGACTGCTCTGCCAAGTGGCTGCTCCCCAGTCTCTCTCCCTGCTCAGGCCTCATTGTTCCCTGAGACACAACAGTAGTGAAATTAGGCCAATTGACAAACCTACAATGGCCTCTAAAAGTTCAAGCAAAGAGTCAGTCAATGGGGCAAACTTCATTGTTGTCTGCTGTAGGAAAGTGCCACGGCCATGCCACTACCCTGGCCAGTCCACAGCCGTCAACACGAAGGCGAAACCCTCCACCAGCCAGAGATTACGACTCACTAAAGACTCAGAGGATGTTCACCAATTTTTAGCAAAAAAGTATTTTTCAAATTAAAGTGTATACAGTTTTTAGACATAATTCTGTCCCACATTTAATAGAATACAGTATAGTATAAACATAACTTTTTTTGCACTGGAAAAACAAAAAATCTGTGACTTGCTTTACTGAGATATTCATTTTATCGCAGAGGTCTGGAGCTGAACGCACAATATCTCTGAGGGTAATAAAATCCAGCCTTTATTAAGGTAATTCAGGTAGTGGATAACTACTCCACCAATTTGCTGATCTACTTCCTATTATTATGATGACTTTGCTAGGCAATACAGATTACTATAACATAATGCCTTATATTTGCACGAGCATCATTACGTATTTATACACATTTGCCAGATCTTGTAAACTAACTGAAGCTGGAAATTTTGTCATTATCTTGACTTTATATTCTTTCCTCTGTTCTATAACACCTTGGTACATAAGGTTCTCCATGATTAACATAATCTTAGTTTTAAATAAAACAGTGTGAGTTCTCCTGCCCCTTACACAGAATTTCTGAGCTGGCACAAAGGGCCCAGAGCTGTGTGGCACTTCCCACAGCTCTCAGCTCAGCTCAGCGCAGCTCAGCTCAGCTCAGCATCAGCTGGAAATGTCCGGTCAACATAGCTGTCCCAGAATTGCTAGAAACAGGAGGGAGTTGAGCGGAATGGGATGTAGCTGCTGGATAGCTTTCTAAAACCTCTTGTCTGCTCCCCAGGATAATTCTGTGGCTTTTTCTAATTCTGTGCATTTCCAGGGCTGAAGGGACAGCGATGCTTGTGCACATGCAGTGCGGAGTAAAAATCTCCTCTCCCTGCTATTGACTTCTCCTTCAGCCCAGGCTCCCTGTACAGGTTTGGTGAGTCATCTCAGTCTAATGAATAAGCAAACAGCATCATCATTAGTATGTAAGAATCATTTTAAAGAATACTCACCAAAATAAATTAAGTGAAGATGAAACTGGATTATACATCCTTTCTTCCCCCAGGTGCATACTTTTTGAAATGCATTTTCTTACAGATCCTAGACAGCCACTCCTGTATTTGGTGGACTCTGTAATGTACTGCCTCCTTCAGAGAGCTAAGAGGTGTGTGTGGGGGGCGGGGGGGCTTTCATCCTGAGAAGGCATTACTAGAGTATTCTATTAAATGACTTTTAGAAGCATTATTTTTTAACCCACATTACTAAAATCATAGAATATTGGAAATGGGCCAGGAGCATTCCTTCAATCTTGCTCACCCTCCATCCCACCCCCACCCTTGTTATTCAGATGAGGAAACTGAACCAGACATTGTAAAACCAAAGAAATGTAGTGTTAAGATGAAGGATTATCAGGGTGACCAATGTCCAGAGACATTATTTTACCTTTTAAATTAAATTTAAATTAATTTTAAAAATAGGAAATGGAATTATTAACAACAAATATGAAAACATTTTTGCTTATGTATATGTGATAGATTTTTAAAATTACTTTATTGTTGTTCAATTACAGTTGTCCACATTTTCTTCCCACCACTCCCCCCTACCCCAGCCAAACCCATCTCCCTCCCTTGCTTCCACCCTCCCCGCTCCTTGGTTTTGTCTGTGTGTCCTTTAGAGTTGTTCCTGAAAACATGTGATAGATTTTTAAAGCACATGTTATAAGAGAACTATATTCATTGCTCATCTTTATTGAATCAATATTCTGCTTTTGAAAATTCTACCTGACCACAAGGTGGCAGTAATGCAACCCACTAAAAGGAGACTAGGGGATGAAATGAAAGCACTATGCAGTTTTCTCTGTATACTAGCCAGGTTCTGCTTATTAATCTAACAGTCTATAGCTATTTCCAATATTTCTGAAACAGGTTATCCCTTCATATGATTTAGTCATGAACTTGGATTATATTCTGTAAAATGTTTTTGAGGTCAATGTTATGTAAGAGCATTGTTATTCTAATACAAAAGTATAATGTCACCCTTATCATAAGGGTGGGAAACAAAAACAAAGCAAAGAAAGACAATTACTAACTTTGAAGAGGAAAGTGAGAGAAGAAATATTATCAAAGCATACTACAGTGCACAGCTCTGTATAACAATAGCATGGAGACACTAATGTCATCATCAAATAGTGATTTCACCAAAAAAATTTAATACAACTATATCAGGAGTTTAGGGAAATAAGAAGCAAAGAGAATGGCTATGTAAGAGTGAAATTCTTATTACTATAATAACAGGTTCATAAAATCTAAAATTAGTGAATCAAAGTAAGCCATTTTACATATCTTATAGAATTATGGAGATGTGAAAATCTTAAAGAAACAGCTAAAAGCGTTAAAAATAAGATTGCATCTTGGGGGTTATTGTACTGTACTTTGTTTTAAACTTTTTAATATAATTTGACATTTTTAAATTATAGGTTTGTCTAACTTTGATGAAAAAGGGACTTAAAAAGCACCTAACATAATGTCTGGCAAGTGGATATGATTAATAACGGTAATCGCAAACTGATCACATTACTTTTACATCTTGTTTTTTCTCAGCCCAGGGAAACCGTGACATGAAGTCGTCCAGTGTGTCCACAACAGCATCGACCTGGCACTGCTCCAGTTCTGTTTTCCCAGCCAAATCTGTGGAATGGAGAGAGGCCATTTTATGCTCACAAATATGTTCAATTTAATTTGTTACATTAAAATATTAATCTTAAAGTAGGCAATATATTCATATAGTTCACAAATTCAAAACAAGTTGAGCAGTAGACAATGAAGACTAACTTCCACCACCGTCCCTACCCACCTCATTTTACTCCTACTTACTACCATGTTTTTATTAGTTTCCTTTGTATGCTTTCATTGTTTCTTTATGAAAATAAGAGTAATATCCCACTCCATATGTACCTCTACCACTTTTCCTAGAGATTTTTTTTTACGAGTCACTTAAGGCCATCCTTGCTATTTTATCAGCTCCATGGGGTTCCCCTAAGTAGAAGTGCTACAATTTATTTACCCTCCACTGATTAGGTTGCTTCCAATCTTTTGCAAATATAAGAAATACCAGAATAAATAACCCATACATATATTTTCATTTATTTTGTAAAAAATAATTATTTTCATTTTTGCAGACAGTTTTTGTCAAGAGCATTTGTTCCTAGAAGCTATACATTTAAAATAATAGAAGTGGTGTTTCTTTTTTCTTTCTTGCCATTCGTTGATCATCATTTTACTAAGAAATCATTGGTCATCCTAACTATTTTTTCACTGGTGTCAATTCAAAATCCTTCAGTGTGGAAGAATTTAAAATAGATTGCTTTTATACAATTGTGTATATTTACTAAAAATCAGGGAACTGTATACTGACAATGAGTGAATTATATATAAATCATACCTCAGCAAAGCTGTTAAAGGGAAAGAAATGCTTTAGTGTTTTCGAGTCCTTCTACAAACTCTCTGTATTTTGCATATGTGATACTCAGAGGCTAATCTTTCTGACTTTGAAAAGTCCTTCCAAATACATCATGGATTCTCTTCATCTATTTTTATCCCTGCATTCACTTCCATGCTCAAGGCTTTGGCCATCAGTTTTGGCCAAAAGTGCTGACTCCTCATCAGCACTTTTAGTCCTAAAGTCCAGGCCCATCGGCTCAGCCTCCTTTTGGATAGTGTGTCATGTATCCTTCTGGCCCCTGAACTTCCTTCAACAAGTCCCATAAGAAATGTTTGTAACTATGTGTGGTGATGGATGTTAACTATATTTATTATGGTGATCATTTATCAATATATAAATTTATAGAATCATTATATTATATACCTGAAACTAATATGTTAAATGCTAGTTATGTCTCAATTATAAAAACCTACAATTGCTTAAAAAATGACATCCATACTCTGAATATTTCTTACCAGATCCCAATCTATTTTTCTATCTCTTTCTGCTACTCCACTCTGCAAATTTAAAGTGTTCTTTGTCTCATGCCATTTTCTCTCTGCTTGGAGCATTCTAACCCAGAGATTCTCGAAGAGAAGTCCATGGACCGGCCGCATGCTTCTGCATCACGGAGAAAACTGTCAAGAATGCAAACTGTGGGGCCCTACCCCACGACTATTGAATCACAATCTCTGAAGTCAAGGCTAAGCATCCTGTGTTTTAAGAGCCCCCAGGTTATCCTGACACACATAAATTTTGAGAAACACTACCCAAGCCCAAGTCTTCCTTTTGAAATTCTAGGTATCCTTTATGCTCAACTCACATGTCATTTTCATTTCAAAGCCAAATTTCCTTAAAGTCAGAAGTAATTTCCATGTCTTCTAAACTTCCAAAGAATTTCATTTGTTGAAATATGTGTTAGTGCATAGAAATTTTATATTTTTAACATACACACATTACTTGGGTTCAGAAATAAAGGCCCAGTAATTACGACCTATTTTATTTGTGAGCTAAACGTGTGTCTGTGGCTTGGATAACAATGGTTGCAGCAGGGGTGCGGGGTTGTAGGCTTGGAATCAGGGCACGGTGATTCTGTAGATTGATTAGGAAAAAAAGACTTTAAAAGAAGCCAAATGTAGCTTTTTACTCAAAAAGAATGTTAGGGCATTATGAGGAGAGAGAGAAGTCAAAAGACTGTAGGATGGGAGAAAGGGCTTCAGGCAAAGACCAGAACTAACAGTTTAATTTCTCTTTGCAATGCCATGGGTACAAGTACTAACAAACCAATCCAGAAGCCAACTACTCTCTAGGATGCCTCAGGTGGCATTCAGTGGAAGCAAAGCAAACAGCCTCTTTCATTTTTCCAGTGTGATTAGGATGAAGAACTTTGAGTACATGATTTAAATGGTCTAAAGAATTTCAAACTTCATATGCCTTATAAATTTCCTGTTAATCACCTCTGATAACTTATGGTCTACATGCTAGCAAGAGGAGTTTCAGACACACTTGTCCAATTTCTCAGCTACATTCCAACAAGAATCTGGGAGCAAGGAGGTGTGGGGCAGGAAGGGTAGGGGGCGATATAAAATAAAATTAATTGTCTGGGGAACTCATGGAAAGTTAAATCAGGACAGAGACCCAAAATGGCAGAGGATTAAGTAGAAGCTACACTAACCTCCTCCCAGGACCAATGGTAATCTGGAAGTGCAACTAGATTGCAGAGAAATCATCCTGAGTAACCAACTGAACACTAGCTAGAGAGAAGCCTTATAACCAAGGACAGGCAAAGGAAACATAACGATGTCTCCTCACTTAGTCTTTAGAACAAGCTTTGAACTAAGCAGGCACTCAAGATCACATTAACTTCAAAGACACTATGATGCTTTCCCAGACAGCCACATTTCAAAAACAACTCCTAATAAGGTAAACTCGTCAAGATACTGATGGCTAGAACTAGGACTCAAAATATGGCATTAGGCGGCCTGAAGGAAAAGGAGGAGAAATAGATGGGTCTAGATGGAAGTCGTGGAAAGGGAGATGGGGAGCAGAAGGGGAAGAGAGGGAAATAGAGGATTAGAAAAGACTTAGGAGGAAATCTGGAAAGAAAGAAGAAACTTCAATGCCAGATCTCAAGACCAGAAACTGAGATGAGAAAAAAAGCAAAAGTGACATGTGGCTTCATACATCTGCAAGGAGACCCACATGAACATATACACTTTAGACTATAGGGAAAAAGGACAAGAAGAGCAGAATTGGTCTTGTTTTATTAAATGATCAATACTTTATACATTCATGGGGATTGTGTAGAATAACATATATGGTCCCTATGTAGAAATATGATCATTGCTATATTTGAATTTTAAGTAGATTGTTACTACTTGTGAGGTTAATAGATTAGTCATAGAATTTAAAGAATTTTAATTTAATAATTTTTATTTAAAAATAAGATAGAGAAACCTCTGAAAGATCACACAGAGACAAAAAAGTGCTGAAGGGATATTTTAGTGGCCACAGGGATCCCTTGAGAAATGTGGGGTCTAAACCCCAAGCTGGGCTCCCCAGCCTACAGCAACACAGCCAGGAAAGGAACTCAGATAACATTCAGCTATGAAAGACAGCAGGGTTTCTGTCTGCCGGAGAGAGATGGCTGGAGACTAAGAGAGCCTCTTAAAGCCAATGCACAAAATTTTGTTTGCAGCCATTTATCCTGGGCTCTGCCAGAGCAGGGAGCAGAGTGGACTAGAGTTGTATGAGGAGAGTCTGGGGCTGTTGGCTCTGGGGAGAGAACTGGAGGAACGGCCCCCAGGATCCCTGTGCTGAGTCATTTTCCATACTGCAGAGGCCATCTTTCTCAGGCAGAGCACTCCTCTCCAAGTGGCACCAGCCTGAAGGGAACCAGTAGTTCCTCCTGTAGGGATTATTCTGTCCCACACTGTGGATCTTAAACCAGGCTGCTGATTACAGTTTAAGGCTACATCACTGATTAACTTTAACTAAGGTGGATCTCTGAGACTTTAGCTGACCCTCCCCTGGAAGAGGGGCTGGTAAAAGCCAACCTTAGTGTGCAGCCAGGTTCTTTCTGCACACAAACAGGCCCAGCAGAGGGAGGTGCACACTGTGGATCCTTGATAGATTCAAACAGGTTGCCCAGGGCCAGCCACAAACATCATATGAGAAAGACCTGCACCAGGGTCTTTACAATCTACGTTATACATAGAAATGAATACAAAGAAAGCAGCCAAAGTGGGAAAACAAAGAAACAGATCCCAAATAAAAGAACAAGAGATTTCTCCAGAAGAACTAGATGAAATGGAGACAAGCAATTTATCAACGGAGAGTTTAGAGTAATGATTATAAGGATACTCAAAAGCATGAAAAAAGACATAGAAACCATAATATGGATTTTAATCAATCAGATCCATGTTCCCTCCTCGGGGTGAACAGCAAGGTGGCACTAAAAGAGCAACTCCCTCCCCTCCCACCCACCAAGTGCTGCAAATTACGTTCAGAGCCAAAAAGAACAAGGAAGAGATACTTACACAAGGACTGCTTGGAACAGATTTCACATCCTTATACAGGTTATATTACTATCTGACTTCTCTCCATATGGACATCTTTTATATCTTTTCAAGAAAGGACTCCTTAGTTCCCATCTACAAGTAAGATGGGCAATAACTGACAGGCAAGGGTGCACATGGGAACGGCACACAGAATGCTGCAAACTCTCCTAGCAGTCACTGAATACCACATGTCCACTGACGGCATGTGCTCATCCCCAGGAGGTGGGACTTGGCAAGGCAGAGAAGCTACTGCATAGGCGGCTTCTGTCACTCAGCTCCAACTGACAGAGGACACGTTTTCCCCCAAAGTTTTTTGGTTTTCTTTCTCAAAAAAAAGGCAAGTCCTTCAGGGATGGGATGGGAAACTCACTTTATAAACTAAAGATTGCTTTTACCTCCTGAAACTTACTTTCTCAGTAAGATTCTTTTTTACTTGCAGAGACATCACTTACTTATATTCTAATAAAACTGTTTTTTTTCAAAGTCAGTGCCTTAATTAGAGGAGAAATAAATTGTGTTGAATCACAAAAAAGAAAAAAGGAAAAAAGAAAAAGAAAACAAAGTTAAATCAGGACATATGGTACATTCATACTTCCCTAGCATTGATTCCATTCTTCTTTGCACTATGGTGTTCAATAATAAAGTTATTTAATGAATACTGGATATATACATATGTATATATGTACTATACATATGTATATATGTATATAAAATACATATATGTGTATTTTATATGTATATATATGTGTATATATGTTATCAAAAATCCTAAAACACAATAAACATATTACCTGTGTTTTTGGTCAAGTATCTTGCTATTGCTAGGCTCTGGTGAAGATAAACTCCATCGACTTCCAAAATGGGGATTTTGCCAAATGGGAGAGCTTAAAATAAAACAAGCAAAGAATCGAGATCCATAATAAAATCGAAAGTTAAAATACTTCCGTTGTTTACTGATAAATGTGAAAACAAAGCATAATTTTATTTAAAAAAAATTTTTACATATTGATTTTTTTAGAAAGAGAGAGAGAGGAAGGGGAGAGAGAGAGGAATGGGAGAGGGAGAGAGGGGGGAAGAGAGAGAGAGAGAGAGAGAGAGAGAAACACTGATTTCCTGTTCCACTTATTTATACATTCATTTGTTGGTTCTTGTATGTGCCCTGACTGGTGATAGAACTCACAATTTGGGTGTATCAAGACAACACTCTAACCAACTGAGCTATCCAGCCAGGGCTACAAAACATGATTTTAAAATCATGGAATTCTTGAATATTTATTCTAAAGGGGACATAAAGCACCTGCTAATATAATCTTTACATTTTTTAAATTTTTAAAAAATAGAGTTGTTTGTTAGAAGACCTACTATAAAGTTAATGACAGAACCAGGTTTAAAGCCCAGATTTACAGTGAAACTCTATATTATATCATATATTATTTCATATACTTATATATGCTTATCATTTAATTTCCTTTATAAAACCTTTTTTAATGCTCCATTAATTTTTCAGGCCTTAATCAGGGGTCATATTAATTATTCTTTAAAGCCATAGTCTGAGTAATATGGAGAGTTTGACTTATGTTGAGTTATGATTTAGAAAATCATATTTTGTATTGACCCAGCAATTCTACTCCTGGGAATATACCCTAAGAATCCCAAAACATCTGCTCAGAACAATTTATGCACCCTTGTGTTCATAGCAATGCTATTTACAACAGATTTGGAAACAGCCTAAGTGCCATAAGTAGAGGAGTGGATAAAAAACCTGTGGTATATTTATACAATGGAATACTATGCAACAGAAAAAAGAAGGAATTCCTGACTTTTGCAACAGCATGGATGGAACTGGAGACTATTATGCTAAGTGAAATAAGTCAGTCAGTGAAAGATAATATCCTATGATCTCACTTATAAGAGGAATCTAATGAAAAAATAAACTAATGAGCAAATAGAACCAGAGGCACGGAATCATGGAACAGACTGACAGTGGTCAGAGAGAAGCGTGGAGGTGAGGACTGATTGAAAGAATATGAAGGGACTAGTCAAAGAACATACATGAAGGACCCATGGACATAGACAACAGTGTGGGGATTGACTAAGGAAGTGAAGGGTGGGTGGGCTGGGTGGAGGGAGGCTAAAGGGGAAAAATGGGACAACTGTAACAGCATAAGTAAAATATTAAAATAAAGTAATAAAAAAGAAAATCATTTTTTGATGAGGGACTATTTGAACTATAGAGTAAGGCAGTAAACATATTTGTACAAATATAGTACAGACTCATAGCAGATATCATATTAATATTTTATTGGTAAGTCTTTGTTTTATAATCTGAACATGTCATATTTTTGTCAGAAAGTAACATATTATAGAAATATTCTATATTAAAAATAAATAAAAATAGCATACCACATAATTATAACCATTTTAGTATTTAATTGCTTTCCCATATATATTTGAAAAGACTAAATTATAGTGTATATAACTGAGAGTTTATGCAAAAGATACAAATTTTTATCCTCTTTAAACCATTTTTGTGTTGGGTCTCTATAACTATGTTATTGTTATTTGAAACTATAACATAGCTATCCCAAACTTTAAGATCCCTTTCAATTTTATAAAAATATTAACGAAATACAGCAATTCCATTTTCAATAACATAAGGAAAAGTTAAGGTAAAATAGGATACAAGGCATTCTAAAACCTTATATCTAAAATGTGTAATTTGGCCCTGGCTAGTATAACTCAGTGGATTGAGTGCAGGCCTGCAAACCAAAGGGTCGCCAGTTTGATTCCCAGTCAGGGCACATGTCTGGGTTTTGAGCTAGGTCTCCAGTGGGGGCCACATGAGAGGCAACCATACATTGACGTTTCTCTCCCTATCTTTCTCCTTCCCTTCCCCTCTCTCTAAAAATAAATAAAATCTAAAATAAATAAATAAATAAATAAATAAATAAATAAATAAATAAATAAATAAAATGGATAATGTTATATGCATTATTTTTACAACTCAAAAACCATCTTGAATTCATTATATTCACAGAGTTAAAAACCCCACATAAAAATTCTGATATTGGAAGAAATATTTGGACATTAATAACAAAGTTTCATTAAGACAGAAAAAAATATTCTAAGAAAAAAAAGTGATTATAGAGGCAATGACTTTTAAGGAGCTCATGCTTCCAAAGGGAATGTAGGAATATTTATTGCTAATATAGCATTTATCATGGTATTATTGTTATTGGCAGTATCTACTAGTGCAAGAAACTTGGGCCCTAGTATTAACTTGACAGGTGTTTAAAAATCAACTCTACCTTGCTAGGGCTGTGACCTTGGAAAAATTACCTAAACTCTGTGTGCTTATAGTTATCCCAACTATGAAATATTTAACTGAAATACTGAATATTTTATTTAATTTCTCTAGTATGCTATTATTTCTAACAGGAAATCGAAATAATACATTCCATGTAGGCATGCTAGAGAAATTAGATGAAGGAGAGTCTGTAGAGTATCTACCAAGTGCCAAACAGTCTTCGAGTACTCAACAGTTGTTTTCTTCATCTTCCTCTTTATGTGATTTTGTAACGATCCAGTCAGAAATATGTAGATTTTACACATATAATTAATATTTAGTTAGTATTTCTAGATAACATAGCTAATAGATGACTTACAGCTTACTGAGAATGCACACTGTTGTTTGTTCAATGTAATGATAGTTCCAATTCTTCCTCATTGTCCTGAGCACTAAGTAGCATGTTTTAATTGGGTTACCAGCCTGATTTGCCCGTTTGTTTCTTTTTTCTCTCATCAAGCAGGTCCCAATTTTGTTTGCGTATCCACCCCTCTTTCATACAGTCACGTGCCTCATAAAAATTGATTCCATCCCCAACTCAGCAGGGGACTAGATGGTTCTAAGGTTCTTCCCATCCCCTTTCCCAATGACTGATTCAGAAGTAAACACGTGACTCAGTATGAACCAGTGAAACATGAGAAATTAGCTGAGGTCTTCTGCAAAAGTTTTTTCTTAATTCTCTGGAAACACTTGCGGCAGTAGTTTTCTCTCTCAGTCTTTCTCACGTATCATCTTATTACCACTGTTCAGGGTTCTGCGGCTGGGGCTGCAGTGCACACATTGCTACCAGGCCCGTGATGCAGCCAACACCCGGAGGAGGAAAACGGATACAGCCATCCTTTGAAACCTGTTCTACTTCTGGATTTTCAGTTACGTGATACAATTCATTCCTTATTATTTAAGCCATTTTGAGTTGGTTTTCTGCTGGAGCAGCACATCTGATCACTGACAAAACATAGATATCAGTAGAAACCCCATCCAACTCCAGGTAGATATCCATTGCCAAGGATATTGACTTTGGTATTCCCCCATTTCAGCTCTCATGACAAAACTTCATATTGGTTTGTCTGTATATTCTCTTTCTGTGATGTTTGTATTTTTACCTCTAACAGGAAATTTTCTGGGTCTTATAGCATTTATTTAACTTGCCTGAACTGTGGTTTTTCAATATAAATCTATGTGAGATTAAAATCCTTTATTTTTTTCACTTACCTGAGGAAAGTAAACGTTCTGAAAACATATTTTCCCTACATTTTCATTAACTATTATTTGTCCTACTTACTTGGTTTGACTTCAGGCCAATCAGCGTATTCTATTCTGTGGTCGTCATATTTTATATCCAAATATGCAAATATGTAACGAATGATTTCAGCTCTCCCCCTCATATTAAAATATGTGAGTTTATAGCTTGGCATTATGTAATTCTGGAAAAAGAAAAGTGGAGATATTATTTTTACAGCCCTCTAGAGATGTTTCAGCATTTTTGTTCGGGAACATTTTGAAAACTTTTATGGCATCTTTTGAGATAACTGGAAGACATTAGAAGGTATTTTAAAACCAGAATTATAAATCACCATCATAATAGCATATGGGAATGACTTGAAAGAAGATTGTGACTCTCTTTTTAAGAACTAGCTGGAACATTCCAGTGAAATAACCACATTCAAATTTTATTTATAAAAAGGCTTCTCAGTAGGAGGATATCTGCAAACTAACCTTTAGAAGATGGAGTCAAAAGTTTTTATTTTAAGATGCTTTTGTCCTGATTATAGTTACTTGTAATGGATGGTATTTGACATTTGTATTGTAGTTTGCTTTGCCGACATGGCTGAGTTTGTGAGGACAGCTGGGTAAGGATGGCAAGGGCAGGGTACATGGGACAGGAATACGAGCCAGCCATGCCAATCTGTGACTCCCTCTCTCTCCTCACCCGTGGCTTTCCCCTCTAGGAATCAAGGGCTTAGGGAAACATCGCTCCCTTTTCTTTGTCACTGATCCATGCTTCAGGCTCTGTTGGGTTGCTTGCACCATGCAAATATGCCTTGTCTTGGGGACCTCTATTGGGATGGGGCAATGCGGAACATATTTTGCCATTTCCTCATTAGAGGAGCAAGGAAGAAAGAAAGCAAAGTTTCTTTTTATTTCAGAGTTTTCTAATACTAACTATATTGGCTAGATGTAGGTCATTTTAATTTTGGGAATGTTATGTGACTTGTATAATGCCATTTCCATTGTTGTTAAACAATTAATTCTTTTTAAGCACTACTAGTAGGCTGTATAGTAATTTTATAATAATTACTGAGAAAAAACATTTTCATTTGGAATTCAGTTCTTCCATTAGTTGCTGTGTACTTTTGGTCTAGTCAACAAAATTTCACTGAATTTTAAATTTCACCTTTTATGGGTAAAGATACTAATATGGGTTTGGGGACTTAAAGAGGTAATACATGCAAAGCATTTAGAACAATGCTAAACACTTAGTAATTACTAGCTATTAATAATAATAATTTTGAACTGGTTCTATAGTGAGAATAAACACTGTGAATACAACACACTAAAAATAAATATAATTATAGTAATTTCATAAACAAAAATCATAAATAACAATTATTTAAAGCCACAAATTTAAATATTTTATTCTCTACTAAGTAAGTCTTCAAAGATATTAATGGGATTAATAAAAAGAAAAGTTGAGCTCAAGCCTCAAAGTTCCATCTGAAATCACATCACATAAAAGGTCAAACACAAATCAAAAAAATCTACATTACCAAGTTCATATTTCAAGTTCATGCATTCATGGTGTCTATCTGTGGAGAGGATAATAGAGAGAAAAAACTGTCTGGTTGCCTATCTAGACCCCCTCAGGATACAAGAAGGGAGGATCATGGTGATTCCTATGGAGTTCGTTTCTCTGGGTCCAGGTCCTCCATGTCCAGATGTGATGAACAGGAGACGGCGCTTCTTGTTAGAAAGAGTTGCCCTAGTTATTCTGTGTCCTGTCCCACTCCCATTAGCCAGTTTGGTCTCCACCCAAGTGAAATGTGGTGCGTGCCACACATATCAACATGTGAGGGAATGTTCTCAAAGACAGAAGAATTCACTGGACTAAACTAACAAGTATTCCAAGATTTACAGCCCTAAATTCCTTTGGTGAGTAAGCATGCATACAGGAAGCTCAAAGTCAGGAACTAAATGAATTGCCCGTCACAACAACAAGAGTATTTTCAAGTCCCCTAGAAATGCTGAGCTTAGAAGTAAATAGTGGAAAAGATATGAGAGTAAAAAAATATAAATTAAAATGTGAAGTAGTAGATTTCCTTCTGTAAATAAAGATTTTATGTAATCAAAATAAAGGAAAAATTCTTATCTAGGAAATAAAAAGCATAGTTATTACAGTTCTTTTGTCTATGTTTTAAATCTCAACCCCTTCCTCCCCCCCAAATATTCAGAGTGGGGCAAGTGTCATCCTTTGTTGTGGTTTCTATTTGAAAAGCATTTTACATATTTTTTTAAACTGACTTTTGTGAATATATACGCATGACCCATGGACATAGACAATGGTGTGGGGGCTGCCTGAGGGAATGGGTGAGTACAGGGAGAGGGGGGCAAAAGGGGAAAATTAGGACAACTGTAACAGTATAAACAATAAAATGTATTTTTAAAAAAGAAAAAATAAATCGACTTTTGTTGCCATAGGTCAATAGTTTCAAGGCAATAAAGAAATTACACATTTTTCTTATAAACAGTTTATGTATACATAGATTCATATGTGTCCATTAAAGTCAACATTAAAATTTAAACATGTAACTTTTTCTCATTTGGTCAAATGCCACACAAATATCAAAGCATAACTCCTGAATTCTGCATGAAAACAAAGGGGTTGCTCATTGTTAATTTGCAACATAATGCTATTTTATATTGTATTTCACTCAAGTAAAGAAGATGTTTTAAAACTCTTGGCATAGATTGGCATAGTTATCTACATTTCTCTGCAAATATACCTTTAAATCTAAGATTTGGCACAGGTCCATGAACATCTGACAAATGCTTATCTTGCTTTCCAGAACATCCTTTCAACAGTCAGAACTCATTAATGAAGCTGTACTGGCACATCACATTCTTGTATTTACTCATAAAATTATATTTTCGACTGAACAAAAATGTGTTTTCTTGATTTCTACATCTACAAATCCCAAACTTGAAGACTTTTGTTTTTCAGGATATATGTGCACATTTTTGTAACCAAAAAAGAAAAAAGAAAAAGAAATAAAATAAAATAAAATAAAGAGTAAAGGTAAATGTAGTTGGAGATATTTACTGATTTTAAAAATCCTTTTTATATTTTGTGGACCTTTTGCATAAAAACTAACATTAGGAATTACCAGTAAATGTTTCTATGGCCAATGCAAATAGACAAGAAAATTTACAACAAAGATAAGTATAGAAGATAGTGTCTAGAATAATATATATTTTTCCCTCTTATTGCATTTAGCACTATATCTCTGTAACAATAATTTCACTGTATTGAAGAATTTATTTCATAAGAATGATGGACTAAAAGGAAGTAAAATATATGCCAGCCTCCACAAAGGGATTCAGCAAAGAACAAGTTCAAGGGTGAAGGGAAGGTATGGTTGTGGAGTCACCCTTGCCACTTACTACCTGAATGGTCTTGAGCATGTCACCTGTTCTTAGCTTTAGTCTCCTCACCTGTAAAACGGTAATGTAAACATTGTGTGTAAAATACAGTGTTTGACACACAGTATACGTTGAAAAAGAAGAGAGAATAGACACTTCTCCAAAGAGGACATCCAGAGGACTCATAGACACATGAAAAAATGCTCAACCTCTCTAGCCATTAGAGAGAGGCAAATTCAAACCACAATGAGATACCACTTTACACTGATGACAATAGCCATTATTAACAAATCAACAAACAAGTGCTGGCGGGGTTGTGGAGAAAAGGGAACCCTAGTGAACTGTTGGTGGGAATGCAGACTGGTGTAGCCACTGTGGAAAACAGTATGGAATTAGCTCAAAAAACTAAACATGGAACTGCCTTTCCACCCAGCGATCCCACTGCTTGGATTATACTCTAAGAATCCTAAAACAAACAAGTAAAAAAGAATCCTGAAACACCAATGCAAAAGAATCTATGCACCCCAATATTCATAGCAGTATTATTTACAGTAGCCAAGTGTTGGAAGCAACTTAAGTGCCCATCAGTAAATGAGTAGATCAAAAAACTGTTATACATTTACACAATGGAATACTATGCAGTAGAAAGAAAGAAGGAACTCTTACCTTTTGTGACAGTGTGGATGGAACTAGAGACCATTATGCTAAGTGAAATAAGTCAGGCAGTGAAAGATAAATACCATATGGTCTTACTTATAAGTGGAACCTAATCAACAAAACAATCAAATGAGCAAATAGAACCAGAGACTTGGAAATAAAGAACAAACTGACAGTGACCAGAGGGGAGGGGGATAACAGAGGGAAAAGGGGGAAGGGGCAAGCAAAGGAATGTGAATAGAGTACTCATGGGCATGGACAATGTTGGGGATTGACTGTGGGAGTTGGAGGGATCGGGTTGAGGGGAGTAATGGGGAAAAAGGCATCACAACTGTAACTGAACAATAATACATTTTAAAACATAAATAAAAACAATATACAACTAAAAGAATAGATAGTGAACTCCTCGTGACTTCTTAAGAATGACAGCTCATTTCCTGAGACCTCATGATGACCTGTAGGAGACTCCTCTTGGTAAAAATGAAAAAAAAAGAAAAGAAAGGAGAGAATTAAAAGGGAAAGAGGGAGGGAGAAAGAAAGGGAGGTACAGTTCCTATCCTAGTAGAGAGACTCCAGCTTTGTGTGATTTGATTGAACTCAAATCCTCAAGATCATTTTCTCTAATAAACCTAACCTTCTGCAAGCACATAAAAATAAAAAATGAAATGTAAAAAGAAAATATATAATTAGGATTAGAAGCAAGATAAATTTTGCCTGGGCCAAAATGAACAGAAATGAATACAGTGAACAGGACCCCACATTCTGAGAGGTGGGGGCCAGGCAGGAGTTTGGCTTCTTCAGAATAAAGGAGAATAAAATCGAACACACAAGGGCGGGAGGGGTGCACTGGAGGGATGTATTGTTAGAAATTAGGGTCTGGCAGCTATTTCTATAAAATGTTTTAAAAGGTCATATTGCAAACCTCTGGTATAATTAATAAAGAAGAAAATATATGAAAAGTCACAAATAATTAATATTACAAATAAAAAGAGGTCATAATAGCCCTGGCTGGTGTAGCTCAGTGGATTGAGCATGGGCCTATAAACCAAACCATCGTCAGTTCGATTCCTAGTCAGGACACATGCCTGGGTTGCAGGCCATGTCCCTAGTATGGGGTGTGCTAGAGTCA